CATGTTAGTCTTCAGTTCCTGCAAAACATTGAATCTTGTTTCATTTCTCCTGAACTTACGCAATGATTGGGAGAAAATTTGAAAGTCTTGTTCTTTTCTATGTCTCTCCTCAGCCTTAAATAGCAATTTCAGAAAAGGCTAATTTTCTCTTCCAGATTTACTTTTTCTTCTGGGACTCACTTCCTCTGTGTGCATAGTGACTGAGATGATAAAGAAGTTTGAAAGAAGCAAGGAAAAGATCCAGAAACGTGGAAGTTCTTCTTCGTCAACTTCGTCTTTTCTCGATGTATGATGCATATTGCATTCTTTTGTTTGCAAACTTAGCATTGCTGTCTAAAGATGTAGGAGAAAGCAAAACAATATTTGGAGGATAAAGAAATCCTGAGGGCTTTTGACAAGTCCTTTGTTTCACTGGCTAATGACGAACTTCATGTTTCAAGACTGTTTAGAATTTAACTTCCAGCTGTGGAAGTAACAAATGAAATTATGCAACTTTGGTAACATTTTTCCTCAAACATAAATTTACTTTTGAGATTGAATGGTATTGCAGGGTGGGGGGTGGGGGTAGGGATTAATTTAAAGAAAGATCTAAGCCCAAGTCCCATTTTCTGCACTTAAAAGATATAACTGTGTAAAAACCTTCTCTTAGATATAAATATTTTAGTTTGTTTTTATTTAAAGCATTGTACTATTCTACTTTTCTGGTGGTGGGACTTTGCTACTAATACAAGGATAAAAATATTTCAGAGGCATTCCACTGGGTTTAGAGTCTGTCACAAGAGTGCCATATTCTAGCTACTGTATTTATTTACTTTATCCTGCAATGTGTAAGCGGCTCAAGTACCTTGTGCTACGGTTCTTTTGTATTCAGAGTTTGGTTTTCTGGTTTTGTTTTTTTTTTTTTTTTTGCACAGGATGTGACCGCTGTCGGATCACTGTTTTTCTTTTCTTTTTCTGTGATTGAAAAGCCTATACTGCAATTTGAAGTAAATGTTTGCATTTCTTATAAGTGTGTTGTCTCTTTGTTTTAAAAGAAACTGGCATTTTACACCAGATGAGCATGCTTGTTTTGATAGAATTGTAGATACAGGCTTTGTTTCATGTCTCGTTCCGTACTTACTTTAACATATGACTCTTGGATCACTTGAGTGATTATAAGACAGTAGTTATTGAAATTATTTGTAGTGTACTGAATAAGAAAATGAATGCAATACTCCTTACTCTAATGGCAAAAACCCCCCACCCCTCTTTGAAAGAAGCTTCATTTTCTTTCCTTTTTCCACCCTGTTCATAAAAATAACTTTTTATTGGTAATGTAACTTTAAATTTTAACCTACAAAATTACTTTTGTGCCTAGAAAAGCATGACAATAGATTTGTGTCTTGACGTGTTAAAAGTCAAGTATCTTTAATTTATTACAATGTCTGAATACTCTCATATTCACTAATTGGAAATAGTTTTATTCCTCAAAATAGTCTTGTAGCTGTTGTCATCAGTGTCTTCTCTTCATCCCTTGAGGAAATGCAAGGAACTATCATCTAGGGGATCTTGAAAAGAGGATGTCTGAGATCTCTAGAGGGAGTCAAAGACACAGTGGTATCTCTTTTGCTTGTAAACATGTGCATATGCATCTTTCCTCACTGTAGCCTGCAAGTGTGCCAGTGGCATTGGCTCTGGACCATGCTGTCATGATTGTTATCCTGTCAGTTGATGAGGAATTGTCGGAAACAGGCACTGGACTATTTCTGCTCTTACCATTGTGACTTGCCCCACATGCCATGCTCAGAATGAGGGGAGTTCATGGAAAACAGTTTGGCAAGTGCTGTATGCATTTTTCTGCTAATATGTTGTTTTAATTGTTCTCTTCTTTTTGCCTCTGGAGATTCACAGACTTGGTCAGGAATCAGGGCATGAGTGAACCACTGAGACTGCTTTACACATGCAATTCATCCATTGCTCTGCCTGACCCCGGGCCTGCTCAATAGGCACATATTACCTGGACTAACCATGTGCTGGAGATCTGATTGTGTAAAGACAAAGACCCCAGCATGTGGTGCTCATCTCTTCCTGGGGGTTGTTAAGTGAACTGCTGAGCTGGTGGGGCCTGAACAAGATGACCTCTTACAGAAATACTCTTGTGTCTTCAAGCAGAACTTTCTTGTTTACATCAGTTCTGCCTTTCCGAAGCTGAACAGACTTGACAGTTGTTAACTGTCTTTGGCAAGTGGGGCTGTAGCTCTTCAATATTGTAGGGTGTTCAGTATTCCAGTACAATTTCAGAACACTTTATTAATAAAATCCTTAGTATTCATCAATAAAGATAGTAAAAATTGACTGTGCATGCTGATGAAGAATCTCTTTAATAAACTTCGGTTTTGAGAAAGCACAGTAACTATACCTTTCACATAGTAGGTCTTAACTTGTGGTTGATGTTCTTCTGTGGGATTTGACTGCTTTGTGTGCTGCTCGTTATCTTGGAGCCCCAAAAGTCTAGATAAGTACAGAAGTGCAGATGATGCCAAATTGTTGTCTTCTCTTGGAATTGTCGTTGTCTAGTTTTTAAACAAAGGAGTTATGAAGTACGCCTTTCCCAGCACAAGTCTTACTTTCTGAATAAGGTACGTCAGTCTAGACAATAAATGAAATGTCAGTCTTCTATGGGCAGTTTTGCCTTCTTGGGGGTAGACTTAATTGAATGCAATTCAGTTTAAATATGCTAAAAGTTTTGGTGCTGTGTTTTCTAATGGAAGACGAAATACAAGTAATAAATCAAGCTCAATGTCATTATTGCTTGGACTGAATTCCATTGCCATCGATTTGGCTCTGCTTGTGGTTCATTACCACCTCACAGCACGTTTGAGAGATTTTTCTGCAGAGGAGTTGAATCAATAGTGAGAACTTTCCACAAAAACGAGGAGGCATTTCTTGTGGGGTGAAAATAGGCAACGACCAAGGAATTTACTTGCTTTTACTAAAACATGGAATAAAGAACGTTTCCGTTTTAATAAGTAAAGGCCCTTTATTTTTTAGTTTTCTTCCAACTAAGTTGGAGAACCTATAATGAGTCAAAAAGGAAAACTAACACTTGATTAAAATTCTGCATGGTAGCACTAGAATCAGTAATTATTTTCTTCAGCATACAGGATTGGTGTTTGCAGTGAGGTGTATGTCATTTCATCAGCAACAAAGAACAGCTGAATTCTGCATTGAGAACACGTTTCCGGTACAGTAATTCTTAATCATTGAGTCAGCATTCCCAAAAGTATTCTCAAAATGCCGTGTGGTCATAGCAGTGTTTTTATCTGAAAGTGGAGTATTTGATCTTATCCCAGTCTTCTGAACTGTCTAATTGAAGATACCACTTCTCAGAAAGTCTCAAGAATTTTTATGATCTACAGCAGTTTTCCTGAATGGGATTCAAAGTAAATTAAGATCTCTCTTCTCACATCACTAACAAAGTGGAATCAAACATGGCTGTATTTTTATACTTAGGACTTATTTTACATGTTACTTATTTTACTATTTCTGATGATGAAGAACTGTAAGGAATTACAAGCTTGGTAAAATAAAACACATGGGATCATAATGGATCAGAGGATGATTTGGACAATTAAAGATTTAAGTTTTAGTTAGTAAAATCAAGATTTTTAAATTTAATCCCTTTCAACTTCTATTTAAAATTGTCTGATGGAGATGCGATGCTGTAGGCTGCTGCAAATAGAAATTTATTTAGAAATAGGCTGTGAAGTTCTGGTAACTTGCGGTGTGTTTGAGTGTAGCTGCCATCTGCTGGTAGTTTAGCAAGTAGCAGCTTTTGTACTGAAATCTTGCTATGACAGACTGTATCTCAAAACCAGTTTTCTCATTAATGTAACATCTTATAGATTTATTCTCTTCTTATTGACTATATTAGGGCAGTGTCGAGATTCAGCTGCATGGTGTCAGAGATCTTTCCTGTAAGTCCCAAGATCTAGTGAGTTACTTCCATGTGAACAGATGTGATAGGGAGCATAAGCAGGACTGAAAACTTGAGCAGTCAACGCAAGAAGCAAGTTTGAATTCTGGTAAGTAATGGGAACTCTTTAATCGTGAAAGGTGGAAATCACGATTTTCCTAAATGTAAGAAAAGGTATGTGGATTCTTGAGGAGAAAAAAACCAGAAATGTAGTAATTAGATTTTACGTGGGGAAGACAATGGAAGACCAATAGTTTTATAAGAAAAGCATTTATGTAAATTGATTTAATATGCTGAAAAGTTTGCTAATGCAAAGCACTGAGAAATACTGATGATGTAGGATTTTGCTTGTTAATTATAAATTGTTTTTCAGTATTACCACGTTGATAGTAAGGGTTTGTCAAGTAAGGGTTTGTCAAGTAATTAGAGTACACCGGGGGAGTCAAAACAAGTCTGCTGTTTTGGTGTAGGCATTATAGAAAAAGTGACAACAGTTTGTTAATGGCAGAAGATTGTACACAATTACTGTAACAATTACTTGGTATTAGCAAACCTTCAGAAACTTGCTCCCATGTGACAGCTTTGTGTGTGCGCGTAACTCTTTGTTTAACCATGTCACAGGGGAGGGGGAGAAACAGAACCTGAAGTTTGTCCCTGAGTACAGTCAGTACCTATAATACTCAGTTGTCACCGAGTAAAGATAGTTCTCCCTCAAAGTACAAGCACTCTATGTGTAAAGGCTGATTTTACAATATTTTTAAACGTGGCTATTTCCATTTCAATTGCATCTGTAAGACTATAATCACTGTGTTCCTCAAACACAAACTTTTGGATTTTTTGGAAAGGAGAAGTGTTCAGAGATATGGGGCAGAGCCAACTATAAATGTACAGGAAAAGAATTCTTCAAAAATAGTCCAGCTCTGAAATGCTGAACAACTTTGCTCTCATTTTCAATTAGACTGATACTTTAAAGAAAAACAAAACACAGCTTTTATATAGTATCCCTTTTATATGAATATAAGTTACAAAAGATGAATAAAAAATCCCCTGAAGCAAGATTTTTGGTAAAGATTAAATCAGGATCTTCTGTGAAAACAGCAGAGCAAATTCCAATATGGTCACATATTTTAATGTAATTTCTTTCATCAGCATGGCATTAGAATTTATTCTAGGACTAATGCTTTCAGTCATCCACTTCCAATGATGCAAACCTATTAACACTGCAAAAATGCAGATTTTCTGGTGTTGCACACTTGGTGGCTGTTCTTTTCTTATTAGATGCTTTCTTCTTCTTACAGGAGTCTGATCTAGTCTTGGTTGTCTTCTGAAAGAATTCTGGAGATACAGTTGACTCCACTGCATTTAACAAAAGCAGATAAAGCTGAGTCATTTTTGGAGATAAAATAAACAGATTTTCCACTGAAGGTGTTGATTTAAGCTCTTGATACAGTCTGTGTACAAGGGTCCCAGTGTAAAGCCTGCTCAAAGGAAGGAGAGAATCTTCATTTAGAATTGCATTTGACAGGTACAGAAACGTGTTGCTTAATGAAACAACACAAATGCATACAGTATCCAACAGTCAACGCCTAAGGGACACCTGTGCTACAGAGTATTTTTCTCTGTATTAACTACTGTAAAGAAGGGAGTTCAAATGTAGGACAACTGGCCAAAGGAGTTTGACACAAAATAAAACAACATGTGAACATATTCCATCAGGGGCTTGTGTGGAAAGCAGATCTCAAACATCCTTACCTACTTAGGTCTGGCTCAGAGAGAGGAGTGCGAAGTAGCTGGTTGAGATACAATCCCATCTGAAGGCAGCACTGCCACTGGCAAAAACTGTGTGCAGCATCTAAATCAAAGTCGTTATTTTGCAATTTCTTTTCCTTCCATTTTAGAAATTCGTTATATGCAATACTGTCATCTTCAGCACGTAAGACTGTGGGATATAGGTTATAAATAAAAAATGACATGGAAATAAATGTTCTGCTGTGAACAGTACAAAAGATATCTGCTATGTATAGGGTCTTCAAACCTCTGGTTCTCATTCAGGAAGCATTTGTAATGTTTTCAAATGGGTCAAACTTAATTTTAAGACATAACATTGTGTAAAAATTCAAGTATGAATATTCATGAGAATTGTAAAGTCAGGAATTCTGTTTGTTAGGTAATTTGCCAGACTGGGCTGTGAGGGGATCAAGTCTACCATTACCAAGGTTGGACTTGATTATCTCAGAGGTCTTTGCCAATCCAGTTGATGCTGTAATTCTGTGTGAGCAAATCCAAACAAGATTCCCATCTCACTCCAACCCACTTGGAAACCTGTCAGCCCGGTTTCCATAAACTAGAACCTAAAGAAACTGCATAACCCTGGCATGCATCATCTTTGCCATCAAATGAAGGACTGCTGGAGCACGTCACCATAACTCTAATAGGCATAAATATTACTGAAGCAATTTCTGTGATTAATTTAGTACTTTCAGATTTGCAATTCACAGGTAGATAAAGTGTACCCGAGCAACTCAGCATTATTAAGTACAGATGATGTTAGAAAAACTCAGAGGAAAAAAAAAATGGAATGCTTCAATAGTAGGATGCACAAGGATGTTAAGCTTATTTTTTGTAACTTTTATATCTAAATTAATATTTAGTCCTAAAAAAAGCATTTATAAATGCAAATTAATTTTACAAGGTAGCAAAGTACTGTTTTACCTATATAAAATGTTATATTGAGGGTTAGCACTATTTCTCTGCACATATCAATGCAGAGAACGTGACACCTCAGAATATAGTGTAAATCAGTGCTAATTCATCTAAATTTGGACACCTCACCGTAAGCGAGGAAAAATTAATTATGGTACAGATTTTTGTAGTAGCTGAACACCTGAAATTGTATTCTTTGGAGACATACCTGGATCATCGTTTATCCTGTGCAGTTCTCCAGATACTATCATTAGAAGTAAAGCCTTTAATTGATGCAACTTAACTTTTGGTTCTGAACAACGTATCCAGTAACATGTTACAGCAACAGGGAGCTGTAAGTGATTTGGGATAGATTCTAGGAAACTCATTTTCACTCCTAGAGTCTCTAGCAAAAGCATCTGACGGCATGACGTGGACATCTGAAAATAAATTTAAAAATTGGAGTGGAAAAATAAAGGTAAGAGACTTTATTTGTTGTGAGCAATTTCCAAAAGGCAAATACATTTCTGGTTAAACTAGCTAGCACTTCAGATTTTTGATAAAAAGTATTTAAATTTCATAGATATTCTGAACAGGAAATATTTTTAATATTACTTAAAACTTTAAAAACTACACCATTAAATGTCAGGTAAAAAGATAAAAGTAATCTTTTAGAATTGCATGAGGTGAGATTTTGAGAGGTTTCAAAGTCTTCATATCTTTATATATTCCATATATTCCATAACTTGTTTGGAAATCTTGTAACCATAATGCATTAAAATTATGGAAAACATATATATATATGTGTATATATATATATGTATATATATATAAAACCTTCATTCTTAGAAGTCATCCTTGCATTGTAAGATGTAATGGTGATCTCTGTTCTTAATATGTTGAAAACATGGCTTACCTATAATCACAGTGAAATCTAAGTGTGACGCTTGCATTTCTCACCTACAGTGTATTAATTCCTAGCACATGTTCCCTCTTTTTTGTGCCATTTAACTTCTGGAAGTTAAATGTTATAAACTGTGCCCCTAACTTCATGCATGCAGTAGAATCGCAGCAGGCTGTTCAATTGTAATTCAAATGCTTTGTAAGCCTTGATTAGGATTGTTTTGCCTACTCTCAGGCAGACATCCCCATGGCAGAAGAGAAACTGAAGTCAGTTTTGTCTAGAGCACTTTCAATGCAGAATAACATTTCTTCCTTTACCTCCTGTTGAATTGATAATTTCCATATATTTAGTAAGGAAAGCTGTAATAGCAGAAGCTCAAATCCATTAAACAAAGAGCACACATACCAAGCTCTGCCTGCCCCGCGGCGGCCCGAAAGGAGTCGGAGGAGGACCCAGAGGGATCGTAGTCCCAAGGTGTCATTAATGTCTCTTATAATCCCAAAACATGATTTTTCAAAATCTTAAGTGTTTCATAATGCTCGTTTAAAAGGCCTGTACCAATAACCTGCATAAAATAACCTGTATGTAGTAGGCCTTTGGATCCATAGCTGTCTGTAGCATTTAATGGGCATAGCAGTGATAGACTCGGTTCCTTTCCAAAATAGCCACCAGCAAGTGATAAAAACATCCAGCACTGGCCACACACAGAAACGTGTTAACAGTTGATCTGAATACCAGAATGGATAGAGCATGTGGCTTAACTATGCAGAATTAAAAGATACAGACTGTATTTCTAGATGTTGCAGAAATTACTGCATACAAAACCTATTACGCAGCTTCGGGAACGGGAGATTGCTTTCCAACACGGCAAGAATTACGGTCTTAATCGTTAGAATTTAAATGTACAGAATTCCTACTGGTGATGGGAACTAGCCTAGTACAACTTTCCTTTGGTTCCAGCTGTTTTTCAGGTGCTCCTCTGCTCTGTCTGGCAAGCAGTACGGGTTTACTTTAGCAGGAGCATACCTGGGGCAGGTAAAACTGCTGGGCAGCTGCAAGATGCACACATTGAAATAATGATGATTTTTAGAAAAAGGCATGGGTCAGATTTTGTTTCAGAACATTGCTCTGACGCATCCATAGCTTGATCAAATACAAAGTAGGTTTTGTAGTGTTAAATTGGACTTTTCTAAATGACATGAAACTGAGTTCCTTCCTATCATTATAAAAGCAAGTATTAGTGTAACAAAATCCATAGGATGAAATAAAGGCCTAGAATAGAAAATTTAGGGAGTACTGCATATACAAATGGTAACTTTTCATATCCTTTATCTTGGTACACTTGAAGGGAGGCAGGAAGAGAAGGAGATAAAGACTATCTATGTAGCTTCTTAAATATCACAGGTACCTCTGTAGGGAAGTAGTTACTTACTGAGGTGGCTTAGTTCAGACATCACATTTAGCGACCAGCTGGCAACCATGAGTCCCAACTACTTTTGTCACTCGTGAAACACTGTTAACCGTGATCTGTTGTGACAACCATTTACCTCCATTAACTTGTCCAAAGGAAAACGATCATCACAAAAATCTGTGGATAGGCTTGCTGCTTGAACAAATGTTTTTTTAATTGTCTTTTGGCATCTGTCAAATTCACACACAACGGGCAGCTCCTGGGTCTGCTTACTTGGAGAAGCAGCTTCATTGTTTTGAGGTACTCTCAGTAGCAGACCATAGATAACTTGTCGGATGGGCAAAGCTGCGCTATGAGCGCTCGGTCTCTGCATGTTCTCCACCTGAACGCGGAGGAAGGTACTTCTTAGTATCAGGGCATTGATGATGAATGGGGCCAGCTTACCTTTTGCCAAAGCATCAAGTACCCACGGTGGTACGTCTGCTTTCCTGGCAGCCTCGCATTCATACCTTCCATTCTGAAAGAAGTCTTCAAGATTCACATCAGACGGAGTGTAATCCTCCATTGAAGTGCACAGAAGCTCCCTTATTTCTTCCCTCTGATGTTTCTTAAGGTATTTCAGCACATTCTCGACGGCCTCGGTGGGCTCTGCGAACTGCGACAGCCAGTGCAGGAGCCCCTGGAGGCGGAGGTGCTTCCCGCCCTTCCCCGCCGCGCAGCCCCTCGGCAGGCGGACCTTGCTGTAGAACGCCTCCAGAGCTGCCAGGTCCATGTAGTCGTTCCCGTTCATGACGGCGAAGAGCGGGAGCAGGCTCTTGTTCAGGCGGCCGAAGTGCCTGCAGAACCGCTCCACGGAGTAGCAGCGCGCGGGCACGTAGCATCCCTGCGGCCCCTCCCCGGCGCACACGCTCTCCCACTGGAAGTGGGACAGCGGGCAGTACCCGCCTGCCAGGTCGAAGACGCAGAAGTCGCTGTCGAGGGAGAGGACGGGGCA